GAGATAATAATATGCACAAAAAAACAAGACAGAGCAAAACAAATCGACAAAAGAAAACAAAACAACGTCCACAACAACAACAAAAAACAATGACCAAAAAAGAAAAGCCTGAAAATAGTTCAAGGACTATTTCTTGATATTTAGGAGTTTTTTCCAGCCGAGTCTGATGGGGCACCATGCCCTGGCCCCAAAGTCTACTTTTGGTATTCCCTCAGGACTTCCTTGCCCTGCTTCCCTTGCTGTTCTGTTGCACACCCTTAGTGTTTTGCCTAGGTGTGGTGGAGGTCAGGCACAATTCCCACACTGTGTCTCCTGTGTTGTCCTCTCTAGGACTGTGGGTCAGTGAGGGATGTCATGTCTCGTAGTGGGGCTGGCCATATGGTCCTCTCTGTGCATTGGCTTCTCTGGGCAGGAATATCATCCTCAGGGCTTGGTGGGCCAGGATGTGCTCCACTCTCTCTTCCTCCCCCTTCATTTGCTCCTGTGTTCTCTGATCAGACATGTCCCTCTCCCTGAGCTGTAGCTTCAATGTTGTCCTCTGAAGTGAATTCTTGAGGGGGGGAACGGGACAGGCCTTTCTTATGAGGCACCTCAGGGTAAATTCAAACTCCACACTTGTTGGACAACTAAAGCTATTAAAACAGAGCAGGAACTCAGGTGATGTGGAGAAGCCAAAGGAGGGGGTTCCACTTACTCTTTAGAAATGAGAGATGGTCCTTTGGAGAGCCTCCTATGGAGCCCCGTCTCCTATCAGTGGGCTTCAACACCAGTGGTGGGAGCCACGTCTCAGCCAGTGTCAAGGGGTGGGGGTAGGGCTGCAATGGGGAAAGGGGGCACCCAGGCCTGTTCTGTTCTTATGGGGAGCTCTCTGTCTTTCTCCTGGAGTATGCTGTTCACTGATTTTTCTGCAGCGGTCTGGGGTCAGCGAGTCGGCTCCAGCTCCTGGAAGCCCCACACGCAGCTGAATGAGACACTGTCTGGCCCTGCACCATCTTTGTAACATTGGAGCCCGTTGTTGCAGGCACTGTGTCTCTCCATCTCTTTGAGGGTCTGCCTCTTTTTCGTTGCCCACCTTTACCAAGCATGATGTCCTTTTCCACGGCCTGGTCTCTCCTGACCACGTGGCTACAGTACGTGAGATGAAGTCTCGCCACTCTTCCCTCTAAGGAGCCTTTCCCGCTGTACAAGGCAGCCCTGCTGTGCTCTTGGCAGTCTGTGGTGTTGTAGCTCTTCTCCAGCACCACATGTAAATACATCCGTTCTTCTGCAACTTTCCTTACGCATTGTCCGACTACTATGGGACACAACGCCATTTTATCCCGTGAATCCCCATGACCGAGGCTTCTGTGAGCATCGTGGTATATCCAGCTTCCATCTCTCTGTATCTTTATCCCAATGTTTATCACTCCAGTGTGAACATTTTGGTCCCCTTTACATCAAGTTACAATCCATCTGGAAGACTGCAATCCTTGATGTTCATTAACAAGGGCTTCCAGGTCCTCCTCATTTTCAGCAAGCTAAGTTGTGTCATGTGCATGTTGAAGGCTGTTCATGAGAACCTCCTCCAAGCCTGATGCCACCTTCTCCTTCATGTAGCCCAGCTTCTCGGGTTGTTTGCTGAGACACAGACTGAGTTAAGCTGGTGAAAGGAGGCATCCCTGATAGACACCTTTCCTGATTTCAGATGGTCAAGTCTTCCCTTGCTCTGTTTCAGTTGCTGCCCCTTGTTCCATATTCAGGGTCTGCAGGAGCACAAGGAAGCCCTGTTCCTCTCAGTGTTCTCCGTGGTTGTTAGGGTCTCCATAGCAGGATGTTTTTGTAATCCAACCCAGGTCAACCGCTCTCTGACACTCTCTACTTCCGCCAAGATCCATCTGATGTCAGCAGGCTAGCCTTTGTTCCACATCCCGTCTGAATCAGGATTGAATTTCTGGCAGCTCCCTGTTGATATATTGCTGCAACTGTTTTTAAAATTACTTTTTGGAAAATGTTACTTACGTGTCATGTTAATGGTATTGTTTGATAAGTCTCTCACTCTGTGGGATCACCTTTCTCTGGCAGGAGCACAGACGCGGATCTCCCAATTGGTTGCCCAGGTGGCCGTCTCCGCTTTCATGGGATAGACTAGTCGTGTTTCGGCGCTTCATGGGCTTGTGGAAACACTTTGGTTGGCATTCCGTCAGTTCCTGGAGCCTGCTTCCAGGGCAGCTTGCACGTCTTCCTGCAGCACCGTTGTTCTTGCTCACGTGCTCCCTCCGGAGCGCTACATGCTGCATGCCGTGTAATAGTTTTCCCGGAGAATTCCTGAGTATTGCAGTGAAGTCTTGAAGTTTTCCTGTCGTTCTTTTGGTGTAAGATAAGCTGAGCACGTTTCCTGCTTGTGGTTTTCTCTTTTTTTTTTTTTAAATATGGAACGCTTCACGAATTTGCATGTCATCCTTGCACAGGGGCCATGCTAATCTTCTCTGTATCGTTCCAATGTTTAGTATATGTGCCGCCGAAGCAAGGACGCTATGTGGTTTTCTCGCTCCAATTCTTTGCCCGTTTCATGATAGTACTTTCCTTCAGTCTTGAGCTGTCCTTTGAAATTCCTGCTCAGCTGTGTTACTTCGTCTCTTCCATTGGCTTTAGCTACTCTACAATTGAGAACACATTTTGGAGTCTCTGCTGACATCCACTCTGATTTTTTCATTCCTGTCTTTTTAATAACCTTTTGCTTCATGAGTCATGTTCTTTTATTTTTTTAAACCATTTTATTGGCACATAATCCACATATCATACAATTCAGTAGTTCAATCATACCAAGAAGAGTTGTGCAATCATCACCACAATCCATTTTAGAACATTGTCTTCTTCCTTGGACTCAGTGTTAGTAGTTCCCCATTTCCCCTCAACCTCCCCTGACATACCCCAAGGAACCATTAATCCAGTTACTGTTGCTATAGATTTACCTATCTTGTATTTCATACACAGAAAAATATTTTTTTTAACATTTTATTAGGGGCTCATACAACTGTTATCCCAATCCATACACACATCAATTGTGT